CGACGCATCATCCCTATAGAATCCCATCTGCTCCTCCCAAGTTTGCTGCAGGCTGCCCCTGATAATCAAGAGCGGGATAATCCCACAGCACCTCCGTATTAAGGACCGAGGGGCAATGCCCCCAATCAGTCTTCATGTGGTATGTTGCCGCTCCTAGATTTCGCCAGTCGGTCACCCACACATCAACGCCCTGCTCTCCTCAACCCAACTGGATTACTGACAAACAGTCATTGTCAACCGAAACCGGTGGTGGCCAGGGACCGACCAGGTCCCAGCAGGGTGCCCCACTAGCGCCCCAGCGCTCTTCCCTGCGATGCCATAGCCGCTCCGACGTCAAGTATTAGCAACTCAGGTCAACAGCTATTGTCAACCCTAACGCAAGCCCCCAATGCCCAGAGGCGACCAGGAGCGTCACGTTAGCGCTGCGGTATGCGACGCGCCTGTGTGTGTGTAGAGAATATCTGACTCCTTTGCACACAAGGAACTGAGTGAACAGGGGGGGGGGGGCGCATTTGAAAAAAGTGAGCAACGGCATGGGACAAGATCCTCCACATTATGGCACCACCGCCCGGCGAAGTTTTTCCTTAAAAAAAAAAGAAAAAAGGAAAGATCCTCCACATTATTATTATAACACCAGTACTTTTCCCAGCTATTTTGCAGAAATGCGCCCTGCATGCTGGCGCATCGGGCGGGATGCACCGGGGTGCCGTTTCGCCTGAAATCTATCAAGAAAAGTCGGTCCCGGCATGCACGGCGCGTTTCTGCAAAACACGCCAGCATTTTGCCCGGATGGATTTAGGGCGAAACGGCGCCCCCGTTCCTCCTGCCCGACACACCAGCATGCAGCATGCACGGTGCGTTTCTGCAAAATGGCTGGGAACCGTATTGGTGGCTTAGAAGAAAAAGAACAAAGGGTGTCATCTTCCTAAATGTCTGTACAAACACTCATTTGTAATATTGGCACGCTGGACCCAATTTCCAGCAGGTGCTGCTCCCCACCAATATATATATATATATATATATATATATTTTTTTTTTTTTGGAAGGTCATCCTCGGAGGCAGCTTGAGGTGCTGGTAGGATCAGTCACCTCTAGCTGGTCGGGGGGAAGGCTCCATCTATTGGTGGGGAGCAGCACCTGCTGGGAAACGGGCCCAGCGTCCCAATTTACAAAGATCACAGAGTTCCTGGATATATCATACATGCAAGGTGCTATGTCTTACAGGTAAACAGGACCTAAAYGCCAATGTCTGTGTGTGATTGTATACGCTATGTTGGTGATGTTGGACTGCGACTCAGCATTTGGCTACATTTGTGYAATGAATGGCCTATCTTATGTACATTGTATATGTTTGTAGCTGTATAATGCAGTGGTTGTCTAYCATTGTGTGATKAGACAAAATGCCACATATGTCTCGTGTGTGGTGTGATTGTTTGTTTGTAGATCATCTACTAATGCCTCTATCTACATATATGCGTGATTGCCATCTAGCAATATTTACATTATTGCAGTGAGATCTAGTATTTTTCCTGGATGTGATTGYTACTTGTGYTGTGTTTGATGCTAACTATGTTTGGCATTGGATGYGACTGAGCAAGTTATCCGGGGCCTTATATTAAGCATTAGTCGGATGACCCTGAAGGGTTTCCACATTCAGATGAAGAAACGCTTTTGTTGTATAGCTGGTGTCCAGATGTCGGCAGCATAGCAGTCAGTCCCTGGTCGGCTTGGTAACATGGTAGAGAAAGAGTAAGAGGGGTAGTGGAGGGGTAGTGGAGGGGGAGGGGAGGGGGGGGGGGGGGGAAGTGAGAGTAGAAAGTTAGATATTCATACGAGGGCAGGAACTTGTCGAAGTATGATCAGGGAAATATGAGGACGAAGTTTGTTGGCTGGTGAACCGCTTGGAAATGGTGCGGTGGCCTTCGTTCCCAGAGATTCTCTGAGAGAAGCCAGGGGTGCCATATGAGAGAAGAATCGTCATTGAGAGAGCAGAGTCTGTGGCATGGATCAGTCCATGTTTCCACGAAGCTGTTCCTCAGTGCTTGTTTCTTTTCAATGTTAGTCTCAGTGGCTTAGTTGTTCTGCAGTTCTTTCCAGGCGGCATGAGTGTAGGCTGAGATCGTGTCTGATAACGTTGAGCGACCTTGCATGAAGCCGTAGTTATGCTGC